GCACACATCGAGCTGATCGTTGGTTGACTCGTGCGGAACTGCAAGCGACAACTCCAGACGTTCTCGCACGCTACGAACGCAAGATGCAAGGCAAGTCGGATTCTTCGGCTCCACGCCGCGCCCGCGTCCAGGTTCCACCTTCAGACCGACGGCTTCGCCCTCGCCCTGGCTTGACTTCATAAGGAGGGGGGGGTGTTACATGCAGCGCGTGCACACACGGGCCATTTTGTAGGCCCGACGGCCATTTTGCAGGCCCGACTGGATTCAGGCCAAAACCCTGGATTTCAGGCCGAAAGCCTAGATTCAGGGCTTACAGGCCCCATTTCGGTTCAGGCCGAAAGCCTGACTTTCAGGGCCTACAGCCCCTGCGACGGTTTAGACTAAAAATGGTTATAGCATTTTTAGCGTGAACCCAAGGGCCATTTTCGGTCGTTCATCAGAACGACCGGCCCTGAAACTCGGGCACCGAACCAGGGTTTTGGGAACAGCCTATATTTAGACTGTTCCCACGCCTGCCTCAAGCAGGCTGCTGCATGCCAGCCCCTGGCACACTTCGGCATTGGCAAGCGCTGCCTCCTCGGCCTGCTCGCCCTCCTGCAGTCAGGAGGCAGGCCGAGGAAGTACATAGGACTTCCTAGGCACTTCCGGAGTAGGCAGTTCGGCAGTGGTAGCCTTCAGGATTCGGGAGCAGCACTCTGGAGGGAGCGCTGCAGTGTAGAGTAGTAGCGTTAGCTTGTAGTCTTCAGCGCTGGCCGCAGTAGGTAGTTGTAGTCTCCAGCGCTGGGCGCCATAGCTAGTTAGTAATATATATATATATATATATATATATATATATATATATATATAGAGAGAGAGAGAGAGAGAGAGAGAGAGAGCTTGGGCGGAGGCCAAAGGTACCTACCTGCAGCGCCGTTGCTCCAGCTTCGTCTTCGAGGTACCTGCAGCACAGCGCCAACATCACAGGTTAGTACTTGGTTCGCAACAGAGAGAGAGAGAGAGTTCTTCTTCTTCTTCTTCTCAGTCCACCATCTCTTCCCTCCCTCTCACCTCTGACTTCACTACATCTGCAGACCATGAGAGAAGAGATACCGAGCTTGGTGACATTGGATCCAGACTCGACTTTCGAGGGTTCAGACATGGCAACGAGGGACTATTTGGGATTGGTGACCAAGACTTGGTGTTAACGACATTCCCATCTTCTTCCCTCCTTTCGTTTGTTCCTTATCTCTTCGTCTGTGTATGTCTGGACCTGGCGCTTTCTTCCTGTGTGCAGCACCAGGCTCCCTCACACTTCATGATGGGTACAATGTATGTTTAGTCTGAGTTCAAACATTGATTGGGTTAGTTAGAGGTACTCTAGCATTCTGCTTCGTTACTCTGAACTACGTGAATGAGGTCAGTCCTGTCAGGTCAGTCTTTGTATCAAAGTCTTCCCTGCGCTCTTCAGCATCTTTATGTATGAATGAGAATGTACATTGCTTGTCAAGATTCTACTTGTACCGCATTGTCTCTTCAGTACTTTTCATCACATCGCAGATTCTCGGTTTATTACGTACATTGCATATCTGTGCATGTAACACCATGAGTGGGTTGGTTAACTCATACTCGAATAATTACTAATAATCTTCTGATTTTGATCTGATTTGAATTTTAGAGTTGTGGGCATGATCGTACTATTTGCTTTAACGCGAGGGGAGGACGGTGGTTGTGGGGGGTGGTTTTGACGATTTCCATCCCACGAACTATGTGGTGGAGGAGGTTGGCTCGTCGTGGGAGGGAGATGGAATGTTATTGGCTTGTTATGAGTTTATGGGAGCTGGCTTTCTATTCTTCTTCCCCTAGCGAACTATGTGGTGGAGGAGGTTGACTCGTTGCTAGAGGAGGAAGAGTAGATAGGGTGCTCGTAGGGACGCGTGACAGTAGGGTGAATCAGAATAGAGGAGTGTTCTCCTCTTCCTGGTAATTGAAGCAAGTCTTAGATTGCATACTTACAAGTTACAACAACCAATATTGAAACAAATAGTTCTATAGAACCCAATCTGATCTCAAGTAGCACGTTTTTTCCATTTAAGCAGTCTGATGTTGATACCATTTAATTCTGATTTTGAACAAACGTATGATCTCTTTTGTTTTGAAGTAATTTTGATCCTGTTATAAAATTCTCAAGTATGGTTTGGAATTGATTTTGTACAAATTTTTTGAAAAACGTAGCAATTTTTTTACTAAATGATTCTCAAACTGTGGTTTGAGAATTAAGTCGAAAATCCATCCTGGATATCAAAATCTATCATTCCTATGTTTCTCTATGTCTAATTTGTAGTTTTGCAATTCGATTCCCTAATTGGAGAATTGAAGTAATTTGTACTCTTATTGTTCTGATTTCCTTAGTTGTAGGAAAAATCCTTTCCACTTTTTTTTTTTTTTTTTTCTAGATTTGAAATCGATTTTTGTGTCTTCTGGAATTTTCGATTGGGTGGGTTTAGGAGATTGTACCCACCTCTTTTGTTGATGTTTGCGGGCCAGGTGTTTTGAAGATGTGTGGTACCTGGGTTGGAAGGGATAGTTTATGGTTGGTGAAATTGTGTCCTGCTGGTGAGAAGGGCTAGCTAGTGGGATTGGACTAGGGCATAGCGACAACTGAGATGGTGGCTTAGCTATCATAAGTCTTGCCGGAGAGAGGAAAAAGGTTGGTGGGGATGGTGCTGCGCTTATTGGGTGAGGGTAAAGGATGGTGAGTTCACCTCATTTCTGCTCTTCCTCCCCTTGTGAAGTATGGGTGGAGGAGGTCGGCTCGTCGTGAGAGGAGGAAGAGTTGAGGAAGGTGTCCACTGTGTGGTTGTGGCTGCTATTCTCATCCCGCGAACTATGTGGCGGAGGAGGTCGGCTCGTCGGGGGATGAAGAAGAGTAGGGGGCTGGAGGGTAGAGGGAGGATGGTTCTTTTGATTGTCGCCGGCTCGTAAAACACAATCTAAGGTCATTTTTGGGTGGAGTAAGATAAAGAGTTGAAGTCTACTCTTAATGTAATGTGCATCTGAGTCTCATGAAGCCTTCTGAATCTCCATTGGAAATCTCTATAAGTTTGGTGCTGGTTGCAATGGGTTGTGTTGGCTGCGATGGTTGGAAACAATGCGCTCTGCGGCGAAGGAGCTAGCCTGTAAGGTAAAAATAGGGCACAACGGCGGTGGAAATGGTGGCTCTACCGCGGTAAGTCTTGCCGGAGTAGGGTTGAGAAGGAATATTGTCGGTTGATGCACCCAGTGCCTGGAGGAGCTGGATGATCGGAACTACAGCTATGGTGATGATTGGGGCTTGACTGCTATCTGTTGATGTCCTTGGTCGCGGTGGTTTGTGAATGGACGAGGCCAGAACGACGCTGGTCGGTGTTGGGGCTTGGTCGCGCTGCCCTGTAACTCGAGCTGCACGGGGGTATGAGGC